TTTCCAGTTCCTATCTGTACCAGTATACATCCTGTGGTCTAGCCAGACTTGGAAGATAGAATTCGGATCATGATAGTGGGGGAGGAAGCATTTAGGAACTAGAGGAAGGCGAGCCTTTTATGAGTAGTCTGAGCCTGTTGGCGTTTCGTGCAGTCCAATGTGGGTTGGGCTATGTACAACCGAAGGCAACACGCCCTGTCCTGCACCGTCCTCCCAGCCTTTCCTCAGTTTGAGCCGATCCCTGCGCCCCCTGTGTCTGTCCATCGCCCGGAGAGTCTTCCTCTTTCTTTTTGACCCTCTATTTGACCAAGCGTGCTGACCACCTCCTCATAGCACGGCCAAAGCCTGTGAGAGGAAGCGTGGCTTCTAAGGAGCGTTCTAGCGTTATTCATCCAGCTCCTAAAGTAACCCTGATGTGACACTGTGGCCCACAGTGTGTACACCCCGTTCTCCCACCAAAAGCATAAAACCCATTGCTCTGCAGACCATTCCGACTCAATGTGTCCCCAAGTGTGACGCAGTAGAACAGTCCCACGGGGTTTTCCTGGCTGTATTCTTTATGGAAGCAGATCTCCAGGACTCTGTTCTGCAGTGCCACTGGACGGGATCAAACCCCTGACCTTGAGGTGTGTGCTACCCAGCAATCTTATTCCACTAAACCCTTTCTGGATTTAACACCTTTTTTTTTTTTTGGTTCTTTTATTCATAGTACTTAATTCTTACTGAAATTAACTTACTGACATCCAGTTGATGCTGGTTTTCGGCAACCATAGGACAGGGAACTGTCCCAGGCGGCTGTCCAAGACTTTAACTGTTTCAGGAAGGAGAAAGCCCACCTTTCTTCCATGGAGCCGCTGGTGGTTCAGAACTGCTGAGCTTGCACATCACAGCCCAACCCCACCGGGGTTTCTTACTAATTGAAAATATCATCCATCACTTACTTGTTTAGTGGCTATATGTGTGTGTTAGTCTGGTAGACTAGAGAAACAAACCTAGGGAGATTAATATGGGCATAAGAAAGAGCTTTATATAAAGAATAAACTGTACATTAAGAAAACATCCCACCAGACTTCAACCCCATGCTCCTCCAATACGTGAATGCAACATACCGGCATGAAGCAGG